TGTAGATACGCACGTGTCGTGATCTGCCTGGTGAGGTCGCTGTAGCATCCAGCAGCTTGGATTTACCGTGACTGATTACTAGTAGTTTCTGCAGTTGCATTGAATACTGCGGAAGCATATATTGTGGCACAATGGATGTGTTGGTAGCATGGGAGTTACATTACATTACGCAGAGTTAATAACTGTTCACGCATTATTATTATTATTATTATTATTATTATTATTATTATTATTATTATTATTATTATCATTATAAGTAAGAAGGAAAATAAGGAACTGTCTCAGTTTCTCTTTTTTATGGTCATTCTCACACGCATTCACACTTACATTTACAAACACTGTTGACATTGTCCGCCAAATTGTTTCAAGTTTGGCGCCTCGTTTGAAATAACTTTTGGTGTTTTTTGAAGGCATTTCAGAGGAAAGGATCATAAATCTCAAACTTCGCGCTCAGATCAAGAACTCAGGACTCAAAAAAGCCGCGCGAATTTCTTCCCGGATGACCAAATACTCACTTCTTTCGTACAAAGTTCCTTGACGTAGATTGTAAACTGCTTCTTGCTAGTTCGGAGCCTCGCCGAAAGATCGCATCAGCTCCTGGGCAGCCCCGCGTACCATTGTGAAATTTCGCGGAACTCTGCGATTTCCACTGCAGACGCCACAACGCGTTACCAGCTCGCATTGTCATCAGAGGCACTGGTTGCAGTCGTAACGTAAAGTAAAACGACGCAATTCGTAAAGAAACGTTTGATTTCGTCTGGAAAGAGGTGACCGTAATAATATCTTTCAATACTCGTTGATTCTTTCTCCAAGTAACAATCATTGTCACTTGTGTGTCGTTTCTTTTCCAGAACTCTCTTAGTCTGATGAAAAACTATCGATAGAAGAGGCGATGTTTCGTTGCAGCTTCTAATAGGTTGCTCTCCCAACCTATCTTACGAGTATTTCGCAGCATCGACAAACACATTCATCCATTCATTCATTCAAACACGCAACAAAATGCACTTAATATAATCCGCCAAGGCACCGACTTTGCTCAAGCGCCCGTGGCGTCGCGACGTCTTCGATCCCAGGCGGCGCTGGCCCGGCGGATCTCGTTTCCGCGCCTGTCGCGCGGCTGCGAGCATCCGTGAGCGGCGACCGCCTCCCACGCAATTGCTGCTCCCCCTCATCTCAGAGCTCGGAGAGCTTGTGCGGGGGCAGTGCGCGGACGGTGAAGGCCGTTTGGACCTTTCTTCTGGGGAAGGCCCTGTGCACGCCGCTGCGCCGGTCTGGCGGAGGATGCGCGGATGAATCTGCGTGGTCGGGGACCAGAGGAAATGCCAAATAAAAACGAGCAGCCACGTCATTTGCCGTCCGAGGGGGGGGGGAGTGCACCGCAGGGCGGGACCGTATTGGCGGGAAGCGACGGCTCGTCTCCAGGTGTTTGCTAAGGCGGAACTCAACATCTCTGTTGAGGTTTGCAGGCATCCTGGAGATTTCTAAGCGCTCTTTGATTACACGAGGACATTACCGGTCTTCTGTGGATATAGTACGGGGCTAGTGGTAATTAACGAGGTGACCCGTTTCCGCGGCATGTTGGTCCAGAGCCGACTGGTGGATGTGTTGTAGCCGATCATGTCGCAAGAGTTCTCGCATCCGCTCTTCTACCGTGCGCCCAGTTTGGCCGATGTAAACAACTGTACGGGATTTCGTACCCGCCGGCATCTTGAAGGGGGTCCGGACGATGACTTCACCTGAATCAGGCTTCCCCCGATTTTGTTGCTAGCATTAAAACACGTGGCGGATATTGGCTCTGCGCCGTGATTACCGATCTTGTCCGTGACTCCTCTGATGTAAGGTAATTGAGCTGTCTTTCGGGGCGGACTAGAAGGCTCGTTCCGTTCCCTCGAGGTAGTGGGCTGGAGTCTCGATAGGGCTTGATGCATGGCGGATCCGCTGTAGCCAATAGCCAGAAAGGTCTCTCTTAATTGTACATTTTCCTCTATTTTGTCGCATATGAGGGAGGCCCCGTAGATGAGAGTAGAAAGGACACCACGTTTCGTGGCCGGGTGGTGGTGTGAGTCGACTGTAGGTAGCGATTGGTGTTGGTGAGTTTGCGGTAAACAGAATGACTGAATATGCCATCAAGGCGCCTGATTACTAGGACGTCTGGGAAAGGGAGTTGTCCATTTTGTTCTGTTTCGATGGTGAATTTAATGCGCGGGTGGATGTTATTGAGGTACGCGAGGAAGGTTTCAAGAGACTCAGGGCCATGGGTGTCAGATGACGAATGTATCGTCGACGTAGCGCAGCCATAGTAACGGTTTTAAGGGCGCATTTTCTATGGCCTGTTCTTCGAAAGCTCCCATGAACAAATTAGCGACAACAGGAGATAGCGGAGAGCCCATAGCGATGCCTTCTGTCTGAGCATAAAACTCTTGTCTGTATTAGAAAAATGTCGTTAGGCAGATCTTATTGCGTTTAGCCCACTTCCTCGGTAGCTGAGCTAGTAAGAGGTTGTCTTCCACGGTCGTGATGGCGTCACTAACCGGAACCGTGGTGAAGAGTGCGGTAATGTCGAAACTGAACAGGATATCGTCAGGGCCTATTCTGGTGGAGCGGATGAGTTCGATGAAATGTTTGGAGTTGAAGGCGGTATATGGTCGGTGAGATGTTTCAGTTTTTTGGCCAAGAAACGAGCTAAATGTTCGGTAGGTGAGTTGATGGCACTTACTATTGGGCGGAAAGGAATTCTGAAGGTTTTTTGGATTTTCGGGAGGCCATAGAAGCGGGGTATGTAGTGGTTGTTGGCAAACTTGAGGATTTTCCTACCTTCGTCACTGATGGAAGACGCTCCATTTATGCTGGACATGACTTGTTGTCTCACCTTCCGCAAAGGGTTGCGGTCCACTTTCTGATAGGTGTTACTGGCACTGAGTATGCTGGACATCTTGTCATGGTATTCGGTGCTATCCATGATCACAGTGGCGTTGCCTTTACCTGCGGGTAGAATGACTATGCCATCCCGCTGCTTGAGGTGTTTTAAGGTCAATCTCTCATCACGTGAAATATCGCAAGCTGGGGGAGTGGCGCGGAACAGAACAGCGCTCGTGTCCCGTCTTATGCCATTGACAGTTGCCCGGGCTACCGAAAGACCTTGCCGATGACATAAGACGGGATACGTGCGCTATTCTGATGCGCACCACTCCTCCAGCTTGCGATATTTGAGACACTACAATACAGCGATTTATTTATAGCTGCCTCTAACTGTCATAAGCTGTTACGGAGTCATCTAATCGAGAGCTTATAAGACACTGCAGTGACGTCACTAGGGTGGCGTTCTATTTTCGGATTGGATGACACCGTAACAGCTAATTGTCGTCAGAAGCAGTTCTAAATACATCCAAGTATCTCTCCAAGTACTCTTCTCCAGAGGGCGCTGCTTTGAATGCAAAAAACATGTCTTCAATTTGCTACAAAGATGGAGGTACTACAGCCACGGGTCCGTGTTAACGCACGGGCCAAGACCTAGCGCCTCCAATTTTCAAGGACCTTCGATAAATATAGCTATTAAAAGTACAAAAGTAAATGGATTCTAGTCAGTGTCGTAACACTATTCTTTGTAAATAATAAACAAAGACGTCGTCTAGACGAAAAGACAATTGAAAATCATTACAGATGTTTCGCTCAAGCTTCTCTTTTTTCGCCCTCTGAAAAAATTAGCTGTTTTACACACGGAAAACAAGTACGAGAAATCGCGTTTCGCGCACTGCAAGTTCAGAAACATATAGAACCAAATTTTGCAAATTACATAAAAATCCGTATAAAAAGTGATGTTTAACTATAAGCAAAAAATTGATGTGGTGCATGTCATTGAATAATATGTATAATACAGAATGTTGCTGTCTGATGCGAGAATGTCACTCAATGATGAGAATTTAATTTTCTTTTAAACAAAAAATTGTCTTTAACTTGGGGGGGGGAGGTAAACGTAAGAGCATGAAGGCCCAAATGCTGTTAAAACGCCCTGAAAGCTAATCACTCATGTATATAATTCTAGCTCGTTGGTGAATTATAGATTAGAAAGACACACGAGATAACTACTGGACATAGAGACTCACAATCTCGCCCATAAACAAAAAAAAACCGCTTAAGGGGTTAATAAATCTATTCTACAAAATTATAATAATTAAATAATTAGACATAACAAAAAGTACCGCGTATTTTTTCAAAATGTTTAAAATTAATTAAATTTTTAATCAAATATAACAATTTCCAAAATTTCATAAACAATATTTTCTTTGAACCGGCTCCAAATGTTATTGCTCAAATAGAGCAAACTCTGTTTATGAATAAGGTACATTATAATACTACTTTTAAATATAATTTTCATTAAAACATTCAAAAATAGTGAAATCAAATCATCCATACTTCGTTTTATGAGTTTTTCAACAGAATTATTAAGATTCAAGATGTAATATTATTAATCTTGGGAAGTTTCAAATTATACTGGTGCTAGTTTTCTGTTTTTTAAATAATTTAATACTGTTTTTCTCACATGGAATTGGAACTATAAAAAATGAAAAACTAAATTATTTAGTCTACAGGAATTTGGTTTCAGAATATTTTGTAATGAAATACCTTGAAATTTTTGGGGCAGGAGTTATCCCTTCACTGGGGAAAAGCAGGTTTCTCATTTGGGAGTTGCAATGTGGTACATGGATTGCACCAGCCTATTAATTAGCTACATCCCTGTCAGTACTATTCTGCAATATTCTGTAAACAAAAATCTTAGTATATTTACTATACCTTTATTTCTGTTGTCTCGTTTTAGTCTCTTCTGGCAATCCAATTTCATTGTTACATTGACATCTCTTATTCTTTTGTTAAAACAAATTGGTACTGATTGAGGCAAACCAAGGGGATATATAAACATTTTCTACTTCCAGAATATTGCTGCCACTTTCTTTATTCACTCACTCGTTAACAAAAATACAAGTAAGGAAATGTAAAGGCAACTGGAAGGGAAAAAATGGTTCTTTTGTAAGAAAGTTTCAACTACATATCAGCAAAATCAATATAATTTTCCCAAACAACACACAATAACATTACTTGTTATTTACCAACAAATGCTCGTAAGTTCACAACAAATCTTTGTTACTAGCATAATAATACAGACTTTCAAACAAATCAATGTGATAAATCTTACACATTGGCATAAAAGTATTTATGTCCAATAACACTTTTTACATTTTGTACAAGCTCTTCCCCCACATGTAGTAAAACCAAATTTATAATAAATACTTTTAACATATGAGATTTAACAGAAAATAAAAGGAACCTACAAATACACAACCCAGTAACTATTTTTAAAAAAATGTTTTATAAGGCATTGTACATCTAATATTGTCCTAAAGAACATCTGTATCTAAAAAGACACACATTATTGTCACAGTGTTTCAATTATTCATTGTTAGTTCTTGGCACATTTTAATATTTAACAAGTTTGAACATACGTAACATAAATGAAAAACTACAAAATTTTCTTTCATCTAATGAGACTTCTATACTGAGGATTTGTTACTCTGAAGTGCTGACACTCGGCTCCTTGCTGAAGAAGTTGAATATCCAGAGGTTCCCAAACTTCCTGGTGTCCAATAGTAAGAGAAGAAAAAGTACGAAGATTGGAGAATAATTTGAACGACAGTATACATGGTGGTTAATACAAAAATCTTCTCTATTAAAAGTTAATTATTTATTAATAATTATATTATAAAAAGTATCTCTTATTAATTCATAACACAACTTAAAACGGACTACATATTTATGGGACAAGGGATACTCATTGAAAGTGACTAGTGATATGTTGATGGAAGCAAAAATGAATAGGGAACCAATAGGATATCAAGCATACTTTCAGCCAAGCAAAAATTTCATGCAAGCTTTCGTGATTCTTAAACTACTACCCTGAACTGCATCTAACCTAATGTATTTCTTGTTGTTTATTTTCTTTTGGGGAGTTACAGAGAACAATGTCTTTCTTTACTTTCATACAAAAGAAAGAACTTTCTAAAAGTTTTAAGATTTTTAATTCAATGTTTATTAGCTGCAAGACCTTTGTGAAATACCTTCTGCATTCAGTACATGAAAGTAGAGGTCTATAATACATGTAGACTTACATCTTTAACATTCATTTTTCATGTCTTACAATAGTTTGTTTGGCTGACAACTCGACACTTTTGAGTCTATAAATTCAATTATTAATTTACTCAATTTGAATGTTTATCTCTGTTCATGAACTTGGCCACATGATTGTCAGAGGCTCTAAGAAATAGAGTATTCCATGTATGTACTAAAGCATTGGTGCACACTCTTTAATTTATGAAATCGCATATTAATTCATGAATGTGCAATATAAAGGTAAATACACTTCTGCTTCTAAATAAGCTGTAGTAAATAATGAGATCATGTCAGCAGAATTACAAAAATTGAGCTGGAGAAGTGTATTCTCCTTAATCGAAGAACAACTTATTTTTTATGCATGGGTCAACTAGATTATTTCAATTAAAATGGACATTTCTGCCTATTAATATGGAACACTCAAAACATGGTACCTAAATATTTAGATTCACACATTTTTAGCATTCAATGTCTTTTGAGAACAGGAGATAAGCATTTTATGTAGATCCTTATAAATGCGAAGTAACCTACAAGGAACATTAACTAATAAACCCATAAACCAAGTTTGAATGCTGTTTTATAATTTTACCTTTCAAGAATAAAATATCATTAAGCCTTTGAAATGTAGCTTCTGCATCACACCACCTAGCCAAATGCATCACACCACCTTAAGATCAATAACGCCAGCAACACTATACAAAAGTTTGCATAACTTCAAAAGATACATCTGATACTGCATTACAGAGTAACTACAGCAAGGGTGGGAAATGGAATGTAAAAGTAAAATGACGCAAACTGAATCTAAAATGAAAAGTGAAGTTCTAAGAAAACAGTCTATTATAGAGTAGTTGCTTGTATAAATATTTATCTTAATTCTTCTAATTATTATTAACACTACTGATCAATATATTAGAATTAACTCCATAACTCGTTTTCCATTAGAAATGACTTTGCAAGGATAATAATAATTCAGCAAGCAAGATTGAACTACCAACGAAATAGCCAGGTTTATCAAATACGTAAAATTCTTTTGTACCATAACAACAAAATATTTTGCACTTTGAAAAGAAAAACTACCACTGTTTCAAGAGGTAGTCATTTGTAACAAGATTAAATAATTCTGAACAACATTTTTCAACAATAAAAAATTTACACCTTTATAAGTAGAAAGAATTATCTAGATAAATAATATATCTAAAATATTTCCCTTGCTTCTAGTACAAAAGTAGCAGTTCCATATTTGAGACTAGGAGGCAATACTTAAAATCACATCCACTAGATGCAATATATAAAGAGTCATTTACTGAAGAGCTGAAGGTGATGAGCAAGCATACAAATGAAGCAAATGTTTACCATTACTCCTCTCAAATATTAAGAAAGAATGATATACTTCAGACCACAAGGAATAAGAAACAGAACTGTCCCCAAATTAAATGAAAACACTGCATAATGTTGAAATAACAAGAACAAAAACCTATTTTTTCTAAGGTGCATTAAAAATTTATAATCTTCATTGCATAGAAAAAAAAAAATATGTCTCCTGAGTAGCACATGTAAATGATTTCTGGACAATAATTGAATATTAAAGGAACAGCAGGAATAACTGTGCTATAGACATCCGGTAAAGTTGGAAAAGTGAAAGTTAATTTATCTTTCTATATAATACTGACAACGGAAATTCTCCCAATAATTTTACTAACAAGGCAACAGGGCACCCTTTCAACCATTTCCATAATTTTACAATGAACTTTAGTTAGTAAGGAAACAACAGTTTTAAAAGTTTAAAGAGTGATGAAATACCTCAAATTAGGTTTTAAAAATTAATTTTTACATTCACCTTGATACTAGTAACTGAATAATACACTTGAAATTATTCTTTAATATTTTCCTCAGCTTAAAATTGCAAAATACAGTAAAATTCAATTTATATGTTTTGCACTTGTACATTTTTCATGATCATTTTCAGTTAATTTCCTGAACATCTCCTTCCTAAATTATTTCGGGTATGTGTTTTATCTTTCTTCCTCTTTTTACTCTTACATGACTAATAAAAAAAATCTAATAAGACTTTATAATAACCGTATATTAATCAGCATAAATACATTGGTGATTTGTCAGAGCGAACAATTAGCTACATTATCCTGGAGTTGCTCATGAAATCTGTATTGCATTCATTAGTCAAGCTGTTTTGTCAACTCAGCTCAAACTTGTTTGCCAATTTCACAAGTAAGAGTTACTTAGATGAATAATGGTGATGGGTTACATCAAATATTCCAGTTGGTTTCAAATTTACTTTAATCTTTTATAATTCACCATGATGTTTCAGAAGAACTAATGGAGCAGCTATCCCAATTTGAGAGAGAAGTTCATGACTTCAGTGTAAACAATTTAAGATTACAGACTTTCTCAAACAGTATTATTTTAAAATAAAATTTTCATTTTCATTAATGTGTTTTTCTCACACGTTTTGTTTTCTTCATCCCCTTAAAACATATAATTTAAGTTTTACTGTATTATTATCATTTTGGGGTCATTTTTGCTAGTCTATCATTATTTTCTTGCATTTATTTACAAAATGCACTGTAAAAATCATTTAAATAAAGAATACACTAAGCAACCAATAAGATCTTACATAAATGAGCAGAGCAGAAAAAACGTTAAATGTTGAGGCTAGAAGTTATGAGATCTACTTGCTTCTAGCGCATATGTACAAAAATGAATGAAAACATACCATGAGAAGTATGTGTAACAGTCTTTAAAATTCTGTACAAAGCTTCTTTGTTTAGAAAAAAAATAAAAATGATGCAACACAAATATAATAACAATTGTAGCATAATCAGCTGCTTTGTCTACTCTCAACCTCAATGAACAATATAAGAATATCACTAGAAACTTATCTTCACAGACTTGAAGAATAGAAAATGAACGACAAGTGTTTAGGTCCAACATTTCACGAAGACCATACCACAAAAACCCTACAACATAAAAGCAGAATTTAAAAATTTTCTTCAGTTTCCTTCAGTGGTGCTTTTCCAGTTTATCAGGCCATCCAATACAGCCTCCATTAGAGGATTGCCTCCTAGCTGCGCCACTTCTTCTCTTGCCTCAGCATCCAACTGCTCTAAAGTTTTGCGTGTATGGCTGAAAGATCCAAAACGCTCCAAAAGAGAGACACAGTAACGCTTAACTTCCACATCACGAGTTCTCTGGCGTAATATGTCTAACAAAGAATTAAGGAAAACTAGCGTTAAAGAAAAAAAATTTCTTTTCAGTTTTTAATCAATCCCCTACCCTCAAACATGCATGCCTCAAAAAAATATTTTACACACCTTCTTGTTTCTATTAAATTAAATACATTCACTTCATAAATAAATATATAGGTATTCAGTCAAATCTTAGGTCATCAAGCCCAATCGAATAAAAGTTGCCCGAGGTGAAAAATCATCAGCCTGCGGCAGATACAGTACTTTATGGTTTACAAATTTGTTGCTGAACAAAATGAGAATTCCAAATATCCAAATAATAAACTTGTCTAGTCAAAAATGAACAGACCCATTGTAATTGTCAGTTGTCACAGGCTCAGATAAATGAAACAGGGAGAGTTTATGAATTTTAAATAGTTTTTCTAATTGAAATTACTGTTTTTCCTTTACTGCTTACTGTGATTTCATATTTCTTAAGTTTAAGAAATCAAATTCATAAAACATGAATGTTATTTGTTGTCTTGGTAACTGGCCATAAAGAACTCAAAAGGACTGCATGGGCGTAATGAATCCACATGACCTGCTAGGGTGTAATCTATATTATAATGAGTTTCAAAAAGGGAATGAGGAAACAATTTCTTTTCAAGAAATGAGTTTTAAGCACAACTTTCTGGATTGGGATCAACACGATTTTCTGGATTGAGAAAATAATTTGTAACAAACAAAATGAAAATGCATGAATTCATACAGAATGTCACGCAGTTTATAATACAGGTTCGATATTCATGTGTATAGAGTATACAGGTAATAAAATAATTATCTTTTCAATTCAGCTTTTTGCCAGGAAATTCTATGATTTTAATAAAGTATATTAAATGTAAAATGAAGTTTTCACTATTTACTTATACATCATTTCCCCATCTTCAGGCTACAAGGAATGTAACAAGAAAAATTTTGAAGTGAACATAAATGTCAAGTTACTGGTACACAAAAACCATGATACAATTATAATAAAACAGTAGCACTTGATATAAAACTTGCGAAGACTCAGCATTCCAAAAAAACAAAAGATAATTAAAAAGTTAAAATAAATAAATAAAAGTAAAAGTGAATGTCAGTCAGTGCAAAAGCACTTTTAGCACAGTGGTTGCAAAACAAATTTTTGAGAACTAATTTTCAATGGCATCATGAAAAGTAGTATGGTTATGAGCCAATTCATTCAAAAGTATTTTGATGCCCTCTCCCTCCTACCCATTCTCCTACTACCTCACAACAGTTTCAGCCCATTGTTTCTTCTATTTAGAGACAACTATATAATCCTTGTTATGCAACCACCATCCTAAAGTGCATTTGCACTGGCTGACGTTCACTTTTACTTTTATTTATTTTTATGCTTTAATTGGTGAGTCTTCACATGTTTAATTCTGAGCAATTGTGTTTTATTACAATTGAATCATGATTTTTGTGTATTTTAACACCAGTAACTTGCCATTTATATGTTCACCAAAAAGGTTTCCTGTTATATTTCTTGTAGCCTGACAATGGAAAAAACACATGATCCTCGAAACATTGCAAAAAACCATTGCACTTTTGTGAATGAAGAATAAAAGCTTTAAACTTTATGATTTTATTTCTATAATTTTTTAAACAATTCGTATCTGTCAAGAAAGCTCTGTGATCAAATTATCTTCTGATAGTTTTCAAATTTCATTTAAGATCTATAATAGTTCAATTATTTTCAATAGGGTTATTTATGAGGATCCTTATCAAATATCTACCATAAAAATTAAGTATTCATGAAAACAAGTCACAAATGTCACATAGGTTTTCCAGAAACTTTTAAATGTATTTTTTGAATAAAATTGAATTGTATACACATCTCGGGAATAAAATGTTTTATATTAAGAATTAATTTTCTCTTTTTAACTTTGCCTCCTTCTACTTTAGTATAGGGAGAAAGTATTGGAATCGCCTCGACAATACGATCTCAAATATCGACCATTACAGTTTCTTCCTAAAAATGATAACTGTAATGTTCCACTTAATCATTTAATCAAAGAATCTTCACCATTTCTAAAGTACAAAGAGGAGTATTAGATGAAGACTATTTAGAATCAATTCTGGCGTCCACATTTTCTTAAGGAGTCTCTGAAATTCTGTAGGGCTATCAATGTCATTAATAAATTATAATTTTTTTGTGCCCTGTAAAACATGGTTTTCTGTCAAGCAATGCAATATATGGGCCTGTAATGTTGTTTTTACTGTAACTTGTCTTGGCCACTTATGACCTCAGCAGTCAATGCAATTTTAAATAAATAAAGAATAAGGTTCTTTCCAGCTAAAACGTCACGCATAAGTAAGGTCTATTAGTGCTATTTCAAAAATGGTTAAGTTAGGTGGAGAGGAGATATGGGCATCTAGTACCTGAAAATCGATTTGTACATCAAGATTATATAAGCACATGCCAATCAGCAGATGATGATTACCATCAATATACTTTCACAGAGCAATAATAGAAGTATCGCTTCTCATTTTACTAAGTGCCATTAATATACATATGACCTTCATAGCCGATTAAATTCAAATTAAAAAGTGTTAAACAAATTCAATTTAGTATTAAACAGATGGACTATTTATACGAATAAGAGTATGTGATATAGTTAATTACGTTTATATTCCTTTACACTTCAATTTACAGAGAATTTTGTTAATTCACCTTTTCATAAAAAAATTAAACTATTTTCTTTGTGCCTTCTACTGTTTTTTATTATATCATTGATGCAATAGTCATCAAGCAGTAGGCATGAGCATGGCTTGTGAGAAATTTTCCCACCTGTGTGTCCTTATTTCATTAAAAAATTATCTCCAAATTTATTGTTATGTGCAATCTGCACCACCAACTAATTCTCATTTTAATTACACGAGAATTGTAATTGAATGTGAAATGCAAATACAAATAATACAACTTGTTTCTGCTATAAAATCGATTTTTACTAATTGTAATAAGGGGGTATCGTCACAGTATTGTCACAAGCATTACATCATTATTAGAGGGGGGTTCAAGTGTGTGTTACAGGGGGGAGAGAGGGCATTTAAAATACTCCAAATTTGCGTTATGACATTAGTTCACAGCAGTGTCTGAATAACATCTTGAAGTATGAAAGAATAATTTTCTAAAAAATATAACTCTTGTCAATGAAAACTCATAGTGTCAAATTTAATTTTTATCTTGTGAAGCAGGACGGCAAAAGATGGGAGAAGTCAGCGGAAGAAATAGGGAACAAACTTCCTCAGTCAGTTTCCTTATTACTTGTATCAAATGATATGTTAGGGTGATCAGGACCAGTGGTGCACATTTATTCATCACTGTCACTGCCCAACATATTTCCGGCATTAACAAATATGGTCGATTCTCACTTTCATGAAAACTTCACTTTACTTGTCATGAGAAGGAATTTTAAAAACCAATTTTTCCAATACAAATGGAGTTCTTTGACAGCAACTTTCAATTTTCAACTTCTCAAAAATGCTGGTTGTAACAACCTAGACATACACTTCTCCTACAATTATAGATTTTCATATTAAGAAAATGCAAATAAAAATGGTATTGATATTATTGTAAGACTATCTGTGGTTACTAATACCACAGAAAACGCATGTGTTTTGCAGATTCCTCTGTTTACACAACTGACTCCGTATATGTGAGAAAGAAGGCTGCTCTGTTTCAGACAGACCTAGCAGTATCAGTTATTTATAAATAAACTTAATAGTCATATTTCTTCAGATGACTTCTGTATGAGATCGTATGTATGTTTCTGCCATACATAATATGACAAGAGTTCCACGGTTGTTTTATATTGGACGTCACGATGCGTCATAACATTCACGCCCCATAGGTTCGAGCAGCAAGTCCGGCGGACAGTGGACTATGTACTCCAGTGGGCAAACAATTTTTTTTTTAATGATATTTAATGTGTGTCCCACTTTGAAATTTGGAAGATGTATACAACATTAGTTTAAAAATACACGAGTATTTTTTAAAATTAATTTAAGTGTCGACCTAACGTACAAAAATTGTATTTTAAAAATTAAAATATTTTTAAATATTTAAAGAAAGAAAGAAAAAAAGAAAAAAGTACGAGTCACCTCTTTTCAACCCTAGACCTCATAAAAAAGTTTCAAGTCGCTGAAAAATAGTGATGTTTTGCGAGTGTGTGATTTGATGTGGAACGACTAACGGAGTTCCGACTGAATTAGAGACGTCCTTAAAAATATATTTACTTTATTTAAATTTTATTCCTGCATTGAAGAGCCCATCAAAATTTTGAAAATGCTTTTGTGCTATTTTTCTCAATGAAAAGAAATTTCAAAAAAGATTAGAGACTGACTTGGAAGATAAAATCATGTTAACTTTTGATAGAATTAGGAAAGTAGTTATTTCTAATCTTATATATACATATTACTTGTGTAATTCTAATAAAGCATGATGGAAATAAATTATAAAACACAATGTAACTTCATAAGTACACTTTAAGAACATATCGTTGGTAATAATGTTTAAAAAGGATACGTATAACTTGATTGTCGTCGGGTCGACTTTTAATTGCATGAATAATAGGAAAACTGAATTTTCCTTCCGTTAAATCCTCACAGAAACTTTTATTTTCAGAGTACTGTAAAAGCCCATAATTAAATTTTTTTAGCAAGACTCACAATAAATAGCTTTAAAACTAAGCACAAAAGTATACCCACCTCTTTCAAACATAGATTGCAATAATCATCTCTAATTTGAAAGTATAATCCCAAAATCCCTGTTAATTTTGTAAAATCAGCTTTGTTTTCACTAAAGAGCTGCATTAATCTGATTGCCAGCATGAAGAGTCCTCCAGTTTCTGTAAATATGTTCAACACATACTTAAAAAATACTGATAGTATAAAAGTAGCCATAATTTCACATGTTAGGAAGACATAATATTTTTTGAGTTTCATGCATTATTATTCTATTTAACATATCATTATATAATAAACAATGATCTTGTAATGGAATGATTTTAATGATGCATTAATAATGGTGGTTGAACTTAACAGAATTAAAAATTGTATACAATAAATTCAAGCTGCGTATTTTAAATAAGCCAATAAACTAACTTAATGCCATTACTGATGTCCTATTACACTTGGTTCATAAATATTAAAAGTAGCCACGTAAACATATAAAACTGCTAATTCAAAACTAATACAAATGTATAGATCTGGCTCTTTAAGTATACAGCGATGCAAGGTCAGAACTTTAAATTGGAAATTAAAGTTGTCGATCAGTTACATAGTAATGTTAAAAAATATCATTTTTGAAACTTAACATACACAAAGATAAAAAATTAATTACTTCTAATTGTCATCTGTCTATATTCCTCTTCTGACGGGCATGTGTAATTGTCTCTCCAGTATATTTCCATGCCTTGACCTCTATGTAATTCTAAAAGTTGTTCAGTATATACTCGAGTTGCATCAGGGTGATTCAGACTTAAAACTCTCTCTAAGGCAATGAATAATACATAATTTGCAGCATTGATTGTGCTAGCTACACCATATATGGAGTGTGCAACAGGAATTCCACGTCGGAGAATTGAATTATCTTGAATATCATCAACCCTGGAAAATCCAATTGATAATACATAATTTTCTTGGGCTTGATACAATTCAGAATGTAAAAACATGATGGGTGACATAAAAACTGTGTACATACAAAAGGCTAGAGTTGTGTAGCATTTGCACAATGTCTCCTACTACATTTAATTTATCTGCAGGAATCTTTAACCAATAATTAAATGCATGAGCTAACTTTGCTCTTATCTGCTTTCCTGGGACCTGTAAAATATACTTGAATGGCTGAAGAAGTTTCTAAAAGGAGAAAAAAGTTCACTGTAAAGGCATGACACATAAACAGGGGGAAATAATTTAGATACACACACGGTGCGCAAGTGTGTCTCCTGCACTACTCTCTTCGTACGTACATATTTATTACTATTAATCGCATTATTCACATTTAATCGGTATGTTGCCGGCTTACATTGTCAATAGCTATTCTAAATACTCACCTCATCTTGGTCTTTATCTCCTGACTGACTATAAGGTATACTGTTTCCGTTCGATCCTTCCATCGTTCTATAGTTAATTACCAATAGTTTTCTAATAGTTCTTTTAAAAGTACTGATCATACATAATATGTCATTAAAACTTCAATCAACGGCTACAGTTGTAGCGAGAAGCACATCACTGAAGTATACTTCTAACTGCTCGCAACGCTAAAATACTTCAGAATTTATTATCTTCCACTACGCATATTTTTTTACAGACTAGTCGAACATAACCTTCCTCAGCTCACTGATGTCTGTCACTGACTCACGGCCATTTCCAGAACTGCACGCATGACACGCATTGCTTGTTTGGAAGGCCAACGAGACCACCCTTGACCTCGTGACGCACACCCCGCTCTCTATGAGGACCGTAATAAAATTCAATACAATACTTAAATCAAACGAAAAGGGAATGGGAAAGAGAAAGCGATGTTTTCTCTAATTTATGCTTCCAACAGCGCTCTTTTCCTTACACTGAAAATATTTTTTCTAATTTATTCAAAAAATTATTTAACTTCCCATTTTCAATAATTAAAGGAATTAGTTCTACATCTTTCTAAAACCAAGTAGTTGGGTTAAACAGCACATACTTCCTCGCCCTCAGTAATGATTACGTAATACTATTTATACCGCAACCATTTTCTTTTTTTTTTACTCAAATTTTCGAAAAATTGTACATAGCCTTATTTCAAAATATACCTTTAAGAAACAGATTTCATTAAGAGAAAAATCTCATCTTTAAAATTTTAGCTATAGGGAAACGCCGAAAAAATGGTAAACTTTTCCAATTTCGAAAAATAAGGGATTCCAACGAATATGAGACCTGTCACTGTATTCTGTTAAATGTCTTTCACAACCTTCATTAACAATGTTGAATCAAAAACTTTGGAGCCATTTCTTTGAAAACGTTGAAAACGTCCCATAGGCTTCGTGTAAAGTACCCTCCCAAATTTAAAATCTCGGTTTCAAATTCAAGGGGCCGCGACATCAGCCAGATCGACTGCGGAATATCAATTGTGGAGAAAATCGGCTGAACGGTTTAGTCGGAATTGTTCACAGACGAACGGATAGACAGACATTTTGACGTCGTTCGATTTTTCGGTATCAAGACTCCCAAAATATGGATTCTGGCTACACAACGTGTTAGAGGATTTCTTTTACTAAATTTAGCAACTGGATTTATCCTTTTATCCTAACATAAAGTTATTCTAACATAACTTTTTCTCTGCTGCGTTTGGGGTAACGAGAAAGTAAAAAATATTATTGATTGTTTGGGTCGAGTTTTGATGCATTTTTAGGGGTTTCGGGGAGAGAGTAGTCTCAATTGGCATCTTTTCTAGTGTGGATTCGAAAGTTTCTTCACATTTTTGTCCAAAATTTGTCCGTTCCATTGTAGGTACATTATGCACAATCTCAATTTTTTGTAGTGTTTGGAAAAGTTAAAGAATTTTATCACCTATTCCATTCCACATTTTTTTAATGTAAAAATGTTCATTTAGCTTAAAAGTGATATATCAAAATGCGTTCAACACGTACTTTGCTTTTGATAGGATTGAAATTAACCCTTTAACTCTATTTTCGCAAATTACAAATGTCCAGATACCATTTCAAGAAACGCCGTTTTAAAAGCAAAATTTAAATAACAGAAAATATTAAGAACATTCAAAATGTGCAATTTTTTGCCAATTTTGACGTCTATGAACTCTTTTGATAATAATTAACAACTTCATAAACGAACATGATAATACAATGAATATAAAATGAACAAAAATTAACTGAACTAACATAATGAACACGATTTTATTTATTGAAAAATACCGCGTCAATCAGTTAATGCATTCAGAACAAGTGATGACTTTTCCAACTAAGTAAAACGTCAAGTTTTCAAATTTTATAGCTCTAGTGTCTGTATGATAAGGTAACAAGATTTACTCAAACATACAGACACGGTAGCAATACGATTGGACTACAGTGTCCTCCCGTTTGTCGTTACTAGAGCTCGGAAGTGCGGAAAATATTGTTTAGATTTTATGATTTGATGAGCAATAAGAATCACTTAATTGTACTTCTAGAGGTGTTTTACTAGATTTTCGTTCCGCCTTTTTTCAATCTATTTGAGCTTCTGATGCCTATTTTTGGCATTTCGCCTTATTTGTGCCATTTCTGCCTTTTTTGTAACTTTTCTGCCTTTTTCGTCTTTATTGTCTCTTTTCCCCCCTCCTAGCACCGATCTCTATCAAGCTGGAAACATTCTACTTGCAAGACCGGACAACGTGACGGTACAGTCGTGTGGTTTGTCTTTTGTGGACGAAGGTGCTCCACTGTCAAGTTGTGGCAAAAATCTAAAAGGGAAAGGTAGATTGAAGATATTTGATATTTTTCGTTGATGCTTACAGACTTGGTTTGCTCACGAGAAATCTTATCCTACGTTTGTGTATGGCCTCGGATCCCTTTTGAAGACAGAGCTGTCTGTTCATGATACACTCTTCTCAGTGCCCTTGTTCTCTCTTCTCTTTTGGCGATTACACAAGTGCGAAGAACGAAACCTAAAATTCAGTTTTCACTAATGCCATTTCACGATTCAGAAGTGTCTACAATAGCATTTCGTGGAGACAGCGACGCGAATAAAATAAATTCGTAGTAATTCCAGATGGTCATGTGCAATCAAGATTACAAAGAAAGTTTCCTTCTACGTGAGTACTAAAGTAAATTTTAAAGTTAGAATAAAAATGTGAATCATTTTAACTATTAATTTCTGTACAATAATTACTTTCAAAAGGTGATTTTTCAACGTTTCCTGTGCCCAGAATAAATGCCTTTTTTGCATGTTTATTTTCGTAAAAATTGATGCCATTTTGCCTACCTATGTTAGGTAAAATAAATGCCTAAACTTCCGGGCTGTAGTCATCATAGTAAATTTTAAAAAATACCAAGCGTTCTAATTAGGGATTAAAGATATTCACGGAAATAAAAAGTTTCATTTCATAAGTATTGGGGGTCTCTTTCATAATTGTAGATAAAATAAATACGTATATTTTTGGCATTACATCATAATTAAAGTTATTTTATAAATAATTATTAAATTTTATGAAAATATGATATGCCCAATTTTTGTTTACCGTGGAGAGAAAGCTGACCTCCGTAGGTTGTGTCTTAGGTCTTATCAATTATTAGTTTTCAAAATTATTACAGAGCTTTGCTTACCTGATCATCAAAAATATTCTGCTCAATATACCCATCTGAGGACATGTTCTCAAACTTTCGTAGAGATGAGATGTACTTAAAGGCAAGCAATAACAACACCCCTCGCGCTGTGTAGCTTTCAACAAACTATTGAATTCGTCACGTAAAACTATCGCGGTAGAGCAAATACGTACTGTGACAACTGGAGAGATTTGAATTAGTAGAGTCTTATTTGAGCATTCGACCAAAGAACTACACACTGCCTACTACTGATAGGCAACGTGCGCCGCGGTTTAGAAACGAACCTCTGGCGCGAATGAAAATAAACTCCCTTCTGCTTATGCAAAGTTCCAGTAGAAATAAACAAGCTGCGCGCTTCGTAAGCTGTGTAAGGTCAACTTGAGCCCAGACTCGGATTAGCGTTCGCAATCCAATTGTCACACCACACCCCAGAGTTACTGTTAACAGATTTCTTTCTATTTTTCTTTTTCTCTCCTCTCTGCATGAAGGTTAGTAATCAAAATATGATAAACTCTAATTTGCATTTTCGTTTACGTACGTATATACAAAGTAATATATTAAGTGTAGAGAAAGTTACGTAATGCTACGGAAAATCGATTTCGAGATATCAATGAAAATACATGTTTTGAGGTCCCCAGACACCGAAAAAGTGATTTTTTTCAAAACCACCCGTCCGTCCGTCAGTCAGCCCGTCCGTCCATCCCCCGTCCGACCGTCCGTCCGTCTGTCCGTCTGTCCGCCCCCACGTCCGTCTGTTCGCCTCCCACGTCCGTCTGTCCGCCCCCACGTCCGTCTGTTCGCCTCCCACGACCGTCTGTTCACCCCCCACGTCCGTCTGTCCGCCCCTTGTCCGTCCGTTTGTCCGTTATTTCGTTCGTCTGTCTATTTGTCCGTCCGTTCGTCTGTCTGTCTGCCCGTCCGTCCGTCCGTCCGTTTGCCTGTCTGTCTGTCTGTCTATCTGTCTGCCTGTCTGTCTGTCTGTCTATCTGTCTGCCTGTCTGTCTGTCTGTCTGTCTGTCTGCCTGCCTGCCTGCCTGCTTGTCTGTGCGCCTGCTTGTCTGTGCGCCTGTCTGTCTATCTGTCTGCCCGTCTATCTGTCTGCCCGTCTATCTGTCTGCCTGTCTATCTGTTTGTCTGCCTGTTTTTTTACGTGGGCAGGGGAAAATCTTCTAAAGACACAGCGGGGCCCGCAACCCGCAGCGTGTGGGATTTCATAGCTAGCTAATGCCTACCCACTAAAACCCACTCCTTTCCTCCTATGCCTTCCGCGAACCGTCCGTCAGCATTGCACGCGAAGGCAAAGGATGGGGCTTTTCGCACTTCACCGAAATATTACGGGATCTTCTTTCGTACTGCTCCTCGGAGCGAGAGCGTCTTCAGGAACCTTTGCGGCCATAGGTGGGGCTACCGCACTCCAATACTCTTGTTCAGCAGCCAATCCTATGAGAGTCTCAGGGGTCACTATTCCTCTTGAAGGGCGTGACAGTTCTCTTCCCTTCCACTGCGAAGCGGGACAATAGAAAGAACACGTTCTACATCTTCAATCACCGAAACAACCTTGGCAATGAGGAGCTATCCGTCCAACCGCATCGAGACTGATACGTCGCGAACATCCATGCCTCTTCAGCATCTAGTTTAGATAAAAATCTAATTCCCATGTTCCTTTGAATCACGTCATTGAGTGTCGGGAATGACCCAATGTCCATCGCCCAGTGATTGATTGCTTCCCATCGTGTTCTGCCATTGTCCATTGTCACCCCCTCTCTTCTTTGTTCGTAATGTGTATTCTAGTTTCGAGCCCCCCTTCCCGCTTGCCGCAATGATCTGTCTCGGCTGCATCTCTACGGTTCTGCCTGTCTATCTGTTGCATCTGCTGCCTTCTACTGTCGTATCCGTCCGTCCGTCCGTGTTGCTGCGATGTCCGTTTCGCCTTGTGAGACCGTTCTGCCTGCCTGTCCATCTGTTGGATAAAGGCATAACGGAGTGATGCCGTAATTGGATGATATGGAATAATACTGAATGTGCTAGCTGATGTGAGAGCGTTCACTCAATTATGATCAGTTTTTTTAAAGCAAAAACTGTCCTTAAATTGGAGAGGGTGAAAGTAAGAGTGGGCGGGGGGGAGTCCCATAGCATG